TTAATGGGCAATCGTTCGATGGGCAGAATTGCACAAAATGCATGATCGCACCGGCTAGTCTGGTGCGCGTTGCTATTTATTTTTTTCTAGTATCACTATCTGATCTTGAACGGTGCCAGTTCTAGACCAAAAATGAAGTCTGCAAAGTATCAAAATTAATTTTTTGAAAATTGCGTTATTGCCCCCATCCACCATTAGTTCACTTGTAGGGTTTATTTTTCGCCATTTCTGCTCTTTGCGGCACCCAAACCAGTTTACTCTATTTGCTCCTTCACTGATGCCTCTTTCTTTCGCTTATCCGTCTTGCAAATTAGTTACATGACTATTCAAAAAATGGTGGGTAAGAGGAGGCTGTACTGATGGTTCCCGCTCCTAACCGCATGCATAGTTCGGTCTGTGTTTACAGCTAAGGGATGAAACACAGAGACTGCATCGTAAAATGTTTCCTTACACGTGACTTTCAGCTTTAATCTCTCTATTCTTCTATTTTTTTTGGCGCATTTCGAAAACAATTTTAGTGGAGAAAATGGATTTTAAGAAGCATCCTAATTGCCTTTCTGATTAATTGCTTCCAGACTACGCGATCGCAAAGCTCGAGGATTTCTACGGCTATTTTCGCTGGTTCTCATATGTATGGATAAACTTCTCATCACCAACAATTACGATTTTTTCGTTTCTTCAATGTCATCAATTATCCGGTATTTACAGGTACCTGAAATTAACATTTTTGTTTAATATCTGAAAAGATTAGGCCACGCATTTACTGATTCTGAGGGTGACTCTATTTTTACGAACGTAATAAAACAAGTGCTGGAGATGCAGAAATCCACCTATAACAGTTGCAGATTCATGGCCTCGTTCTCCGCCTGTGCAGCTAGCAATTTCTCCAGCTGCTTTTGACCAGACTGCATCTGTGATCGTAATTTAGTACATGCACAGGCAATATCCCTACAAGGTTTCAGCCCCTTAGCTCGCGTGGTTCCCGAGATCGCTCTCCTGCCAAAAAATTTGCATATTTTTTTAAAACGTCCGTACGCGGCACCTATCTTAGCCGATGACTATTTTCGTAGAGGATTTGTGCGGGATAACCTTCTTGTGAGCGTTTATTGACGAACAACTGATAAAACACAACTAATCATAGGTTAGTGAGGATATGAGAGCCTAGTTAGTCTACCCTGGTCTGTTCTTGTATAAGCAGGGCAACATTCCTTCTAGAATCTCCCCCACATGACAGCATCTTTTGACTGTCAGTTAGCTGACGCGATACAGCACTGTTCAGAACAACGATGGAAGCGGAAAAGTGCACAGATAGAAAATTTTACTAAAATTAATAAAAGTTGTTGTGATTTCTTTCTAGAATAGGCACTATTTTAAAATTAAACTCAAAACTGTGAACGAAATTTTGAATTTAATTATGAGTCAGTAGCCATTTTCGGCAATACAAACAATTTTGAAGTTTTTTTTTAAACTATTGTATTTTTTTTTTTTGTTTTTTATGCGTTTTGTGCTGTGTAACAGCGTTACAAAACGCATATTGTCACGGGGTTGTCTATG